GGGTTTCCAAAGAGCAGCTGGTGAGCTTGAACCACCAACCTTGCAGTTCAAATGACTTTGCAGTCTGATGCATTAATCCACAGTGCCACATCAGGACTCCATGAAAATTAATATATTTACTATATTTGTTCAAGCTACATTATATTTTGTTAAATAGGATTTGGAACCTAACAAACATACAGAAGATCTAGTAAATTAAAATATCTTCAATAAAGAGAAATTCATCTGAAGATAATAGAAAGACAACAGAGGAATTAGAAATGAAGAAAAGACTGTTATTCAAGGAAAAGGTTTTTGATGAATGAAATTGAACCAATATAAAAAAGAGTTACAAATAAAAAACAATTGTACATATAGGAAACTGAGAATAATTCAAATCAAGATACACACAATATTAACAAAAGCCCTGACAAAACATATGGGAGTAAGCAAAGAAAAATGCTTTCCCACAAGAAGTTACTCTTTCATCATTTCTGCTAATATTTAATTACAATTTTAAAGTTTATTTAAATGTACAATGAAAATGTGTTTATTGTTAAATCCCTGAACTTTTGAGTAATTCATACTAATAAAAAGCTAACCACAGGGTCTTATGCCAATGTAAATAGAACCAAATGCTTACCTGGTGGCATATATCAAAGTTAAAACTTAAAACCTACAGAGGGATGAACTGTATCTTTTACCAGTACTTTATGTTTAGAAACAATCCAATGATGGAAAACCAAAGATTTTTGTAAAGTTGGAAGGAATACACACAGTCACTATATCTAAAAGAAGTGGTCAATGCTCAACCATTTGAAGAGAGGCGTATGAACAAGAACAGATGGTACTGAAGAAATCCAAGCCAGACTGACGGCTCTGATGAAAATAAGGCTACAGGAATTGATAGAATACAAACTGAAATGTTTCAACAAACTGAAATATCACTGGAGACACTCTCTCATCTATGACAAATTGGAAAACAGCTAACTAGACAACTGATTGGAAGAGATTCATATCTGTGCCCATTCCAAAGAAAGGTGACCCAATGGAATGCAGACATCATCAAACAATATAAACATTATATGCAAGTAAAATTTTGATGAAGATAATTTAAAAATGGTATCAATAGTACATTGACAGGAAGTGCCAGAAATCCAAAGCAGATTCAGAAGAGAACATGAAACTAGAGATATCATTATTGATGGTAGATGTTTAGTCATACTTTAATGACTATGCAAAGACATTCAACCATGTGAATCTTTACTATGGATAACATTGCAAAGAATAGGAATTCCAGAACACTTAATTGTGCTCAGTAGGAACCTGTATATAGACCAAAAGGTAATCATTCAAATAACAAGGATATACTAAATGGTTTAAATCAGGGTAGGTGTGTGCCCAGGTTGTATCCTTCTACCATCCTTATCCTTATTCAATCTGTATGTTGAGCAAATCATATGAAGGTTTGGATTATATGAAGAATGTGGCATCAAGATTGGAGGAAGACTCATTGGAAGTGGAACCCAATGTAAAGAAAATGAAAAACCTCACAATTGGAGCAATAAATAAAATTATGATAAACAAAGAAAAAACTGAAGCTGTAAAAGATTTCATTTGGCTTGGAACCCCAATCAATGCTCATAGAAGTAGCAGTCAAGAAATCAAACAACGTACTGGATGTAGCAAATCTGCTGCAAAAGAGGTGTTCCAAGTGTTAAACAGCAGGAATGTCAATTTGAGAACTAAAGTGTGCCTGACCCAAGCCAGGGTATTTTCAATTGCCTCATATGCATGTGAATGTTGGACAATATATAAAGAAGACGAGAGAAGCCATAAATTTTACTTATGGTGTTGGTAAATAATGTAGAAAGTATCACTTACTGCCAGAAGGAAAAAAAAAAAAATCTGTCTTGGAAGACATACAGCAGCAATGCTTCTTAGTAGTCAGGATGGTGAGACATTGTCTCTCATGCTTTGGACACTTTATCAGAAAAGAGCAGTTCCTGGAGAGGGACATTGTGCTTGGTAAAGTGGAGGGTCAGTTAAAAAGAGGAAGACACTCAAGGAGATGGATGAATACAGTGGCAGCAAGAATGGGCTCACACATAACAACAGTAATGAGGATGGCACAGTACTGGGCAATGTTTTGCTTTTGTTGTACATAGAGTTGTTATGAATATGAAATTACTGGATAACACTTAAGAATAACAACAACAATAATAAGGCTTTATGTCTTTAAATTATATTCTTTAAGTACTCTGTAACCTATAATGAAACTGAAAGTTTTCTCCCAGGTGGCTAGAAAAAAAATCAGGAGAAATGGCAAACATATTTATATTTCAACTGGTCATGCAAAGCAATATGTACTGGTAGCTAATGCCAGAGGACATTCGATCCTTCTAAAGGGGGCAAATATATTAAGCAAAAACAACAAACCAGACAGAATTAGTTTTATCATAGAATATATATGTGCTTTATATATGACAAATGGAATTGGCACAGCCTTTTAGATCACACTATACTGTATTTCTGAGTCCTGGTGTGGCTCTGTGTGTTAATGCCTCAGACTGCAAAGTCCTTTGAACTGTAAGGTTGGCGGTTCAAGCTCACCAACTGCTCCTTGGAAACCCTATACAGAATCGCTATGTGTTGTAACCAACTTGACAGCACTTAACAACAACAACAACATGCTGTAGTTAGGACTCCTGGTGTGGCGCTGCGGGTTAATGCGCCAGACTGACTGCAAAGCCATTTGAACTGCAAGGTCGGCAGTTCAAACTCACCAGCTGCTCCTCGGAAATCCGATACAGGGTCGCTATAGGAAACGATTTGACAGCACTTAACAACATAAGGAGCTCTGGTAGCGTAGTGGTTACGAATCGGGCTGCGAACCGGAAGGTCAGCAGTTCGAAACTACCAGCTGCTCCGCGGGAGAAAGATGATTTACAGCCTCGGAAACCCTATTCAGGGTCGCTATGGGTCGAAACCGACTCGACGGCTCTTAACAACAACAACAACATACTGTATTTAAGTGTATAATTAAAACTTCCTTGCTGAATTTATGAGTATTTTTTTTGTTTTGCTCATTCATTTATTTTTCCCATTTGGAAGCATCTTTAGCAATATCATATTAAAAACTAGAACCTACTGCTTTATAATAACTTTGTAACGTCATTTAAAGCATCCAGGATGACATTACTGAAGAGACTGCAGCGACACCAATACAATCCCTTATATTCAAGAAATCAAGCATTTGTTTAGCATAAGAAGACAGCATAAGAACGAAAATCTTTACCCTTTGCCTGCCAATCCAATTCAAGTCAATAAACATTCATTGTATTTCTATGTGTAGCCATAAAAAATCTGGGTAGTCAGCACAATTAAAAAAAAAAAAAAAGCCAACCAAAAAAACCCCATGTGCTCACTTACTAATTTGATTCGGTGACCAGGAGTGGCACTGATTTCCCATGTGCATTCCTTCCTGCTTGGGTATTTGTCTGGCCAGTTGGGACTGGTAATGATGCCACTTGGACTGTGAATCTTCTGTTCACACTCAGCTGTGCCAATAATGATAATATAAGTCAGTGTGGAAATCTAGGATTGGGTCAGAAAGCAAGTAGCATATTTTATCCACTGTCATGTTGAAAGATATTTCTGAATGCTACTTAATCATTATTATAGTCTCTGCTAATATATTCAACTGCTTTGGCAAACATGTTCTGAGCATAATCAGGCAGTGTTTGTTTTCTAGTTCATATGAAATTAAGTTTTTACCATGAATATCATAAAAGTCTAAAAGAAAACGAACTTTCTTAAAATTGCTGCATGTTAAGCTCAAGTTTTAACAGAATAACATATACTGACAATCAAGTAAATAAACACTTTAGTATGTGTAAAATATTTAATGCACTTCCCCAAACAGAAATAAATGGAATTTTTGCAATTCACTGTTGTTTCTACTAGCAGAAACATCGTTATAAGTTAATCAACATCATTAAGCTGTTTATGAATCATGTTAAAAATTTCCCTCTCCTTTGTTCATCTTAAATTAAAAACATTTCAATACCTAAACCACAATTTTAACTTCTACAGTAAATGATATCTAATTTCATCAAAGCAAAAATACAGTACTAATGGGGAAAATGAGTCAGTAGACTAGACAGTTAGATTCTGAACTAACTTGAAAGAATCTCTCAATTAAAATGAAATTGCCTTTACATTTTTTACAATTAAGATAGTCTTATCTTAGGAAAAAAATCAGTCCATATTTTTAAATATCAAGTTTCAAAAAGTATGTAGTATCCTCAGATTTGTTAGTTCTATATATTTTACTTAGCATGAAACAGCACCCTATTTATGCTGGTTTATGCTGGGATGATTTGTTATATATATTGCATATTTGGTTCTAAAATATAATTAGAAATGTGTTTGGGTAATTCTTCCCTATATGGACAAAACACCTGTTACCTGTAGCCTTGCATGACAAGGATAATATGTTCATTGTTAAGGTGCTTCTGGTTGTTGCCACTATTGTTGCCTTCCTTATTACTAGACCTTTGTTTTAATTATGGTAAGTTTTTGGAGGGGGATTTAGATACGCAATAGAGAAATATAAAAAAGGTAAAGGGTAAATTCAGCTCCTTTCAAACAAAATAGGACTATGTAGCAAGCCCTAGGAGTTTATAAATTATTTTAATATTATTGTTATTGTTAAGCGCTGTCAAGTTGGTTACAATCCATAGAGATCCTGTATAGAGTTTCTGAGGAGTGGCTAGAGAGCTTGAACTGCTGATCTTTGCAGTATAGCACATTAAACCACAGCTCCACACCAGGACTCCACTTTGACATAGGATTTTCTCAATTCATCATCCCACCCCTAACCTTGACACATGAAATACAGAGACAGTTGGGATTTTCAAACAGGCAGTTAAGAGCCTTGCAGCTAATATGTAAAATGATGGAGGTAAAAGAAAGCCAAACCCCTTTCTGGCCATAAAAATGAGTTTTATGAAGGAGTTTCTGATTTTTTTTTTCTATCTAAAATAAAATTTCCTATAAACTAATTTCATGAAAATGCTGATTAAAATATAAAAAAGAGACTTAGAATTAAATTATAGTTGTTACCTGTGAGCCACAGGCTACATGCATGATCTTTAGATTACTTAATTTTTCTCTAAATGATTTTAAATATATGCCAAATAATCAGGTCTACTCCTCTACTCCATAGCCTTTTTTTGTGTGTGTGTGTTTATTGTGAAATGAGTGATTGTTTAAAAGAGAGAACATCAGCTTTATCTTCATCCTATCATATATCATTTCATTGCAATGATTATAATCCCCTCCATGCATGATCAGAGAAGCAAAGGGTACAAGCCTGGGCCCTGGCCATCAGCACACAGCCCTTCTCCCTCCCTTTAAATTTGCAACACTCACAATCAGTCCTGATAGCAATTATTCGCTATTGAATAACAAGGGTCTTATCCCCATCTCCTTTCATCAGACCCATCCAGACAGATTGGAAACCACTCAGTGGAGATTCTACCTTCCCCCACACCCTCTTGAAACTAGGCTCCCTCTTGAAAGCTGTAATCCAGTCATTTCTTGCCTTTGTAGCCCACCCATATTGGGTAGCCAATGTCTAAGTTCTCCATCCCTGTCAACCCTGTGTACTGAGGGGGTGGGAATGATTCTCGCTGTAAAGATTTGTTCCCTCTTTTGAGCTACTACATCCATAATCATAGGTCAGCTTCATCAAATTGTAGCGATTACTCTTTTTTTCCTCTTCTTTCTTCCTCTAGTTGAGTTCTGATCATCTAGCCATTGAAGCTAGGTCTAGTGGGTACTATCTGCAAGTATAGGTGTTCTTGTGCACCTCCCTTCATTTCATATCAGCTAGATGCTTCACTCTCTGCTCTAGTCCTCTGTAGCCATGTCCCTGTCTCTGGGC